GCATACGCTTTGTGTTCGAATACCAAACAATGAACAAGTGCCTCATATATTTCTCTGCAATCGATGTGAACGAGAAATCATACTTTTGCCTTCTCCATAGCTCTTCAGCAGTAGCAAGTAGCAACCAGTATTACTTTTATTTATTATGATCCATCCCTTTAATTTCTGTGTCACCATTGTTTGTGTTTCATTAATTTATGTCATTTTAATTTTGGGAAGATGTTATGTAATCTGTCAAGAACAACATCAGATCAGTCAAGTAATTTAGTAAGTATACGTTAATTGCAGCATCATCCCTGCTTGAGCTTTTACCATTTATTTATTTATTTTCTTGATTTCATGGCCCAAATCCAATGTATCAACTTATATCTATTTTGGGCCTTGGGATTTAACGTTTAGCTGCTTGAAGACACCCACACTACTGGGCCTTTACATAACAACTCTTTTGGGCCGATTGCGATTATACACTGCAAATGAATTGATTTATGAGAGCACAACACACCAAAAACGACCATCTCATTAAACTGAAATTAAAAACTTATCTCAAGTGTGATTGTTCGTAAAGGACCACTAGTGTAGTGGTTTTGAGTAATTGCTCTTCTAGTCTTAGCACACATGTAGTGTGTGTGAATTTTAGTATATTATCGTCCCTCTTAATAAGAAAGGTTTATAATAATAAAAAACTAATTAAAGCTTATTTTAAACCGGTACTTAGGGAAATTTATTAAATTTCATTTCTATATCGAGAAAGAAAAAGGAAAGAGAAATGTTTGACCCCATAATTGGATTTCTGCTATCCAATCTAATTCAAGACCCATCAGTAGACACTACATTAGGTAATGGAAGGACTATCACGATTTAACTGTTCCTTTTCATTTTCGAAACAGATTCATTACTGAATCAAAAAGATAATTTTAAAAAACAATATAGATGTGATATTTTAGCATATAAATCTATTAATTATGAAGATAAGAAGGACTCTTATATTTATGGGTCACCATTACAAGCCAAAAATAACCAAGATATTTATAATTTCAACACACATACACTGTGGTTCGTAGCCACGTGCTCTAATCCTCTTAGCTACAAGCCCCACCTCATCTCTACTGGATTTGTTCCCGGGAATACCCTATAAAAATTAGGGGCAATATAATCCTTACGTAAAGGGCATCCTATTCAACTTTCAAGCATTAAGATACGTTTTAGGCATGGATGATTATCATAAAAGATTCCCAACATATCATAGGATTCCCTTTATTGAAAATCCACACTTTTCCAAACCCATAAAATAGACGGAATTCTAGGATTCCTCCTTGGGGCAAATACTTTTATGCGTACAATTTGTAACCAAGGTTTTTAGATAAAGTGTTATCAAAGTATATATTAATTAAAGATCCAGCCAATTCGTTTAATTAGGGCTAAATAAAACGAGAAACTTGTCGAGGATGATGAGCACCCAATTTATGTTTGTGATTGGTTGTTGGAGTGTTGCACGCCTAAAAAGAGAAACATTTCCTTTAACTGCAAGGATCAATTTTTTTTCCCCTATCATCTTTCAAACGGCAACAACTTTTTATTGACTTCTATCCCTTAACAAAAATTAAAACAAAAACAAAGGAAAGCTCTACACCACCAAATTTATTTTTAACTTTTTTTTTGTGTGGGGGGTAAGATCATGATATGAACGTTTTCCTTCTGAATATCAGGGGAGGCGGGTAGAAAGATTCAAATGAATGCACTATTTACTGCACTATGATAATTGCTATATTTTGACTTTGACCACCATGATCATTCCAACTTAAAACCTTCTTTTTAAAGCAGATATGTAAGTATAGAAATCAAACAAAGTTTGAAGTTGGAATCAAAGATCAAAGAAAGCATCCCCTGATCCACAGTGTATTGTTGGAACCCAAATCATTGCTTCATTTTCCCTGTAGAGAGAGAGAGAAACGAAAGTGGTGCGGTGTAAAAAGTAAATGGGTAAATGTTGAAGCGGTTAGAACTTAAACTGGATGAGTTTCTGTTCATGGGTATATTTGTCTCTGCGTACTAGTTTGGGTAAAGCTTCCAAGACCGCTTCACTTTCTGGAAATTACTCAGTCCGTAGTCATTTTCTTTATTTTTCTCTAATTATTATTATACATTTCCTTTTGGGTAACTTTTCTTCCCCCTCCCCGTATGAATCTGTTTTTATTATTACGTAGGGCAGGTAACTTGTCAGACTCTGACATTACCCACTACATCTCTCTCTCTCTCTCTCTCTCTCTCTCTCTCTCTCATTGCATTGCATATACTGTACACACAACAAAAACACAGATTTATCCGAAAAATAAAAAATGAAAGTTCCATGAAGGCGGAGAAAACAAACAAACAAATGTTCTCTTCTGTATGGCCTATGCCTTGAGTGGGAAGAAATGATGGATATGCATGGGCATGTTAATCATAGCTAACACTGTAGGTTCTAACATATTCGATTTGAAACTAAATACTTTTTTTTTTGTCTCCTTTTTGGTTTTCAGTGTGACAGTAAAGAATGGAATAGATGCCAACTTTGGTTCACTTCTCGGGATACCAACACAGCTAAACCAGACAAACGCCTCACTCGGCGCAATAACACAAAGGTTTTTTGGCCCCTACCCATCATCAATTTCAAATTATTGAAGCACCTCCCTCGTATGTATACTTACCCAAATCTTTTTGTTGGATTAATGTTTGTACATTGCTTAATTTGAAGTCGCAAGTGAATTAAATACGCAATTCCTAACAAAATCTCATTAAGAGTGAATGAATTTACAAATTCCAAATTCATTTTTTGGAAGAGACATGGAAGTAGAACTCCGCCATATGTTAATTAAATTAATTAATGGATCTCAAAAAAGTAAAGTTTAAGCTATATATATATACATAATTAATTGGACTTTAGGGCTAAGTCAACAGAATTTTTTAAAGCTTGGGTTGCCACGTGAGAGAGGGGATTAGTTTTAAGAAAAGGTGATTAGATTTGGAATCCAGAACACTTGGGAGGGAGGGATGATTGCTTTTTTTGATGCAGCAATGCATGCCACCATGTGATAAGAATCCTTCTCCCATCATCCTACCATTCTTTCCAACTCAACAAGTATAATAAAGTAGGGCAAGCATCTTCTCCTTTTTTCTAATTATTCATTCTTAAAAACCCTACCCTTCATCACCTCCATCCATCATAATATCATATACATATATATAATTCACTCCATCTTTATCTTTGTGAACACATTAATTATATTTTGACATGTGTGCTCTGAACATTTGTCAAAAAGTAATATTTAAAAAAGAAAAGAAACAAGATTCACATTGTTGTATGTTTTCACTTTTGTTGTTGTTGTGTATTTACTGTTCTCGGGATAGAAACCAAATGAGTAACTTTTTTGTATGAGAAGATGCTCTAACTATGGAGAATGAAATCACAGTTTCTAGCTAGGCAATCATACATTTAGGAGAAAGTCCAACTCTCATTTGCTAGATTTGTAAACCAAGGATAATATATACGCAAAGTTAATTAATTATAATTATATGCCGCATATGTGTTTTGGTGTCATAAAGATGTAGGGTGATGATGATAAACATTCAGCTTCGATCAATTATTAATTTGATATGAGAGTTATCCCTAAAATGGACAATTCTTTGTCTTCTATAAAGTTGAAATTCGACCTCTCTCTTGACCGGTAAGAGCTAATAAGCTTTTTTCCCAACTGTTGATAAATATTAATTGTTAAAATTAATTAATGGTAATTATTTCAGTGTCACTTTTCTTTTGTGGGTGGGGGGGTGGGGAGTAGTAAAAAAAGATAAAGAAGAAAAGAGGTGAGAGAAATATTGAGTATAAAAATTATCCCAAATCCTGCCTGTGATATGCATATGCATGCAATGCATGGGCGGCAAACATTTTTGTCTTGAAGTACTATTATATAATATAATAATAATAATATGGAAAATTAAACTTAGAGAGAAATGATTACTGCAGCAGCCAGCCCTTATGAAAATGACTAATCGTGCTACCTTTTACCTTCTGAAAAGGAAAAAGCTGCTTCAACAAACATGTTAATCTGGATTAGCTCGCCATCATGAATCATGAAACCAGTACATGTGCCGGAACTCCTTAATTATTTCTCTTATTATTGTCATTTAATTTAATTTATAAACCCAGATTTTACCTCTACCTCTTGTTTTTTACTTTATGTAGAGAGGGCTGAGGAGAGAGATAGCTAGAGTGGTCATGTGAGGGGGTGGATGAACTCACGTGGAACGGGGTTGCCTGGGCCTGCATTTATACATGCAAATTACAGTGTGACGAATAATGACTGTTTGTTTTCTTATGGGAAGGATGTTTTTTTGTTTCTGTCCAATTCTGTGTGAGTACAGTGTCTGTGTGTGGGGCTCTAAATTTTAAGCATCAGTTTGATTGGGTCAGCCAGCCAGCCAGCCAGCCAGCCCCAAACCCCCACTCCCAATCCCAAACCCAACCCAACCTCCTCTCTCTCTCTCTCTCTCTCTCTCTCTCTCTCTCACACACACACAGACTCTCTATCTAATATCTCTCTCACACACACAAACACATGCTTTATCTCCCTATACTCTCTATCTCTCTTTTTTGTATAGGTAGAAGAAAAGAGCTTTATAAACAAGACTTGCCACAACCTTACCTGCTCAAGGTGGGGGGTCATTGAAACAAAGAAAGAAAAGCTCACTGAGAAAGGAGGAAAAAAAAAGCTAGCTAGCCAAAAAGCCTTAAAGCTTAAAGAAAGTTGATTGCAGAAAGCAAGAGCTTTTTCTCTCTCTCTCTCTCTCTCTCTCTCTCTCTCTCTCTCTCTCTACATATGAAATGGAGAGATTAGAGTAAAGCTGAAACCCACTAGTCCAACTTCACCTGCACCGCCCTGTACATGTGTGTGTAAGGATTGATTGATTCTAGTGCTCTCTCTACTTAATTCCCCCAACATATAGTCTTGAAAAATTCACCCATGTTGGACAACCACACTGCTTCTTCCTCTGCTGCTCCATCTTCTTCCTCTCATGATGTCTTAGAAAATGGAGGAGCCACTCACAAAAGAAAAAGAAGACCAGCAGGCACACCAGGTAATTTATTTTCTTAAAACTTCATTAACAACTCCAATATCCCACAAACCCTCTTCTGATTTTTAATCTTCTTGTTGTTTTTATTTTTTGGGGTTTTGATCGTTTGATTCACACATGTCTGTTTATAGATCCGGATGCAGAAGTTGTGTCTCTGTCTCCCAAGACCTTGCTGGAATCAGACCGGTACGTATGCGAGATCTGCAACCAAGGATTTCAGAGAGATCAGAACCTGCAGATGCACAGGCGACGGCACAAGGTGCCATGGAAATTGCTAAAGAGAGAAATTGCTCAAGATCAGGTCATCAAGAAAAGGGTGTTTGTCTGCCCGGAGCCCAGCTGTCTGCACCATGACCCTTGCCACGCCCTGGGCGATCTTGTTGGGATTAAGAAGCACTTCAGAAGAAAACACAGCAATCACAAGCAGTGGGTGTGCGACAAGTGCTCCAAAGGCTATGCCGTTCAATCTGATTACAAAGCCCATCTCAAAACCTGTGGCACCAGAGGACATTCTTGTGACTGTGGCCGTGTGTTTTCCAGGTTTGTTCAATTTACCATCATCATTATGCTTTTTTCAAAAGCGCCTAGCTTTTTAGCTAGCCAGGCCAAAATCATCATCTGAAATCTGAACATGGTCGGTCAGGCTTCTATTGTGAATCATTTATTGCAAGAGGCCATTATAGTACCATATACAGTGTACTGGTTGATAGCTAGCCATAGCCTAGCTAGCTCCATTCAAATGTTATGGCCTTTCTTCCATTTTCTTTCAAACCCTAAAAGCTCATCCCATAAAAAGCATGTTAATTACCTCTCACAGATAAGAACAAATCTTGAAATCCTACAATCTTCCTTTTTTCTTAAAATAATGATTTATCTTTCTTGTTCTTGATGGCATCGGTTTCTGACCATCATGCTTCTCATGTATGCATTCTTCTGTTCCACTCCCTCTTTCAAATACTGTATAAATCAGTTTCCTAACAGTAGCACATGACCTCATCGATCCTCATGCTTGCTAATTGCCTTTTTTGTGTTCTTCTACTGCAGCTCTACTATTCCCAATAACATACAGTTTCCAGCAATATTTACCTATCTCTGATACAAAAACTGCCATACTATATTTTACTTAATTATTTCTTTATATATATATATATATAGGTACCCCACATGATTTCTTTTACTTACTTATTAAACTAGTATTCTGTTTTAATTTATGGAACCTAATCATATCATCCATACTGCAGATACTCCCAGTCTATCAATTTAATATTCATTTGCTTCTTGGTAACCCTACATATATATATATATATATCATATATATGAAGGGCTTATGGCTAACGATCTTCTTGTTGTTAATTCTTAAAGACACCAAGAAAAGTCCATGTTTTTAATCATGATAATGTGTGTGTGAATTATAGATCTATATATTCAGTTTGAATCATTCTACCTTATCGTGATTTCAGAGTGGAAAGTTTCATAGAGCACCAAGACACTTGCACAGTCCGACACGTCGTCCGGCCAGAATTCCAGGCTGCACTGCAGCCGGCCTGCTCGTCTCGAACCGCATCGAGCACCAGCCCCTCCAGCGACACCAATTTCAGCATCAACAACAACAATAATAATAATGTGCCACAAGTCTTGCCTGGTTTCCCATTGCGGCCAAACCCAACTCACCATCACGATCATCAGCGTGAGCATGCTCTTAATAATCCTCACAGTTCTTGTAACCAGCAGCAGCAGCAGCAACAAGTCCAGAATAATATTCTGGAACTTCAGCTCCTTCCATCCTCCAATACCCACACTACCTCCCCACCAAATTTAGACGAAAAACACGCAACCCATTTGAAGCTTTCCATTGGCTCATCGTCATGTGATCAGCGCGGTGATGAAAAGAACGATCAAACAAGCCAGCCCAGTTCATCAGGTATAAGAAGAAGCTCTTCAAATGCTGAGAAGATGGACGGTGCTGGGCTCACGTTGGAAGTGGCAAGGTTGAAAGAGTTTGCGAGCGAGGAGTTAAGGCTGGCCATGGCTGAAAAGGCGTACGCCGAAGACGCTAGGCGAGAAGCCAAACGGCAAATAGAGATGGCTGAGCTGGAGTTTACCAACGCCAAGAGAATGAGGCAACAAGCCCTGGCGGAAATGGAGAAAGCTCAGTTCCTCAAAGAGCAGGCCATGAAGAAAATAAGCTCCGCCATTTTGCAAATCACTTGTCAAGCTTGCAAGCAACACTTTCACGCTTCTGCAACCACCGCCGTGGGGCCCTCTGATGAGACCTCTCTTGCCATGAGTTACATGTCCTCCGCCACAACCGAAGGAGAAGGAGATCACGATCAATGACCCCACGGGGCACATGATTATGATTGATGATCATGCAACATCAGCTAGCAAACGATACTGTTAGTTAAACCATATTTTGTAATTGGTTTGGTAACTTTTTTTACGTTTTTATTGTTTTCACATGAAATGCTTATCTTCTAAACAGACAGACGTCTCACAATCTTTTTTCAGTTTTCATCAGTTAATTATTGCTTTGTCAGAGTAGGGATCTTTATTTCTGACCATTGTTGGGGTATTGGTTGAAGAGTGTTGTAATTGGGTTCTTGTATTTAATATTTTGATATATTAAATATATATATATATATCTCTCTTCATTTGTTACAACTTACGAGAGAGAAGAAGGGAAAAGAGAAAGTGACTTTTCTGCGTATATGCTTTATACGTTCAATTCAGTGGTGCATTAATAGTACCTTCATATGCATTACTTGTAATTTCAAGAAAAATACTTTGTTGTATTGTATACAGCGCATAACATTTTGTCAATCAAAAGAGCTAAGTCGCTTGTTCGTTGCAAGTCATAATTTCATTCCTAACTTTATCAGCGCCTGCACTACACACTACATGCTATGACAGAAAAAGACAAAAAGAAAAAAGCACCCCTCTTTTTCTTAGAAGCTTACCCTTATTTTGTCTTGGTTCTGAGACTGATTTATAAGCATGCATGATTGTGTTAGAACTTAGATTAGATGGCAGCCTTGATTAGGATTATAGCGGCCCATAGTTAAGAAGACTAAATTAATTAAGGAAGGACAGGAACAGTGTTGGATTGGATTCCATACGTAGAAAGGCAAGTTAATTTGGTGGATTAAGTTATGTAATGTGGGGGTTGGGACCCTGTTGCTAAATGATAGGAAAGCTCCTTTCAGTTTCAGAGATGCTGACCTACATATACTTGAAACCAAAATTGAATTAATGGGGAGAGAAAAAGATAGAGAAAGAGGGTACTGTCAACTGTGTGAGAAAGATGGGAGGTCGTTTTCAATGCATTTGTAATCCTTTTAAAGGCTATTTTAAAAAAAAACAAGAGAGAGAAAAAGAGAAGACCATGTTTTTCAGTGCCACTGTTGGAATTGTTACGCTCAGGCACTCGTCCCTGTCAAACATAAACAACACACACAACTCAATCACTCATGTGTGTGTGTGTGGTTATATTTACACATACATACATACATCTATATATAACTTTATCAGAGTCAGCTGCGCAGCGGCAGAGCAGCACAGTGCCTTTTCATTAATTTTATAGGCCCAATAACAAGGAGATGAGAGCTGAAGGAAGACCCAAATTTAATGTTAAAGATTTTCAGAAAAAGTGCGTGTGGTTGCTGAATTTCTTACACCATTCAAACCAAAGCAAAAAGCCAACTCAAACCAAAGCTGCTCCAAAAGGATTTCCATTTATCGCTCCTCTCTTCTTACCTTTGCTTTTCTTTGTCTCTCTCTCTGTCTCTCTTTCTCTCTTTCTCTCTTTCTCTCTTGGGGCCACGTGCACCTCTTTCCCACCTTTTAATGTTGCCTTACTTTTCATGGATGTCTAGTGGATTGGCTAGCTACCGTATCCATCCGCATATGGTTAGCACAGACAAGGAAGGGAGGCTTTCTTTTCAAAATTTACCTCTTGCGTGTTACGGGCATCTTCCATTTTCAATTTACTTTTTAACCTTTCACAGTTCACCCCCTAACACTACGAATATCAACTTCCATTCTTTATCTTGGTGCTCAAATCAAAATCTCTAATGAAAATTTTAAAAATATATATATATAAATTATATGTAGCCTTTGACTAGTCAAAGTTTTACAAGAGAGAAAGAGAGCCCTTGAAATGAAGGGAATTACCTAAAATTTGAATAAAGATATTTGTTGTACTGTATACAAACGAAGAGAGCACTGTATATGAAGAGGAGAGGTGGGCATCTTTCGATAAATAGAGACAAAACCTTTTTCCGACATCAACCGTAGGGTAGCGAGTGGATGGAACTTTCCATTTCACCTTACAGCAAGTCAGATATTAAAGAAAGAAAAAGAAGAAGAAAAAAAAAAGTAATTACAAAAAATTTCATAAAGTAGCTAAATTTCATAAAGTAGCTAAAGTCACTGTTCGTTTGCCTTTGCCCACTCAAAAAGTAAAACTAAAACTTAATGTAGGACGAATATGTATATTCCCTACATACAAAAGTTGGGGGGAAAAAAATATCTTTCTTCGGGCTTTGTCCCACGTCTTAAATTTAATTACTTAATATCTTCATCCACATTTATCCCCAGCAAGAGATGAAAAAACAAAACCACCCTACTCTGGAAAGGGTAAACCTATAGTTCAAGGAGATTCCATTACACTTACACAAGCCACAGGTTCCGTGGATATTTAAATTAATTGTTCAAGACATACATGAATTACTTCAAGGTTTTCAACAAGTTCGAATTCGTCATACCTATCGAGAAGCAAATATGATAGCAGATACGCTGTCGAATAAAAGACGTGAGGTCTCTTCTAGTCGTATATGGCTCGGTAAGTTTCCCAGGGAAGGAAGTCAATTTTAGAATACAAGAGTGATGAAATTAGCTTCAGTCAACCACTAAATGTGTATAGCGCAGAGTGGACCATCCTCTGCTTTTTATGCATATTGTTGATGGGGGCAGGAAATAATATCATGCGTGATTGGGTTAATGTATTGTAGCAGTGTAGGCATGGCATGGCATGCAGGGACGGATTTATTTATGTAGATGGGGTCTAGTCTTCGTCTTGATCTATCACTCAGTGCTAGCTGCAGGGCACCAGCATTATAATCTTGCATCTCAATAAATTATCATCATTCATTCATTGTACACTGGTACCTACAGATTCTTTTTTCTCTTTCCTTTTTTCAATCTTATAATTTTTTTGGCATAAAATCTGTTCAAAATTGATCTATAAATAGTTGATGATATGAAATTCTGCTCTCAGCCTCTCAAAAACCCAAGTTGGAGCTGGGTCAGATTCTAAATCAATTTAGACCCAACCCAAGTTTCAAAAATCACAACTTGAGCTCAAGCTAGCCCAAGTTTTCGAATAAACCACCCAGCAGCCCAATAAGATTTTGAGCTTGCCCAAGTGGTTCTGTTGTGTGGACTGGACTTCGGGAATTCGATTGAAAGTTTGACATGCATATATACATACAGGGATATGTGACTCAAACTGAATTGAATAAATAAAGGGGCATTTATAGTAGAATTAAGATCAAGTTCCGGTTTCAGTCTGATTGACGGTCACAGTGGTGTTGTTTACTTGTTTTGTTTGTTGGGGAGGGGTAGGGGCAGTGCCGAAGATGAAGATGACATGATGGATGATGCTCCGATGCAAAAGAATGCCATGAGTAGGAAGCTTGCGGAGAGATTTGCCAGGTTGAGGAAGTTGTCAACTTTTGATAGATAGTCATCTGACGAAAGATGCGCAAAACTAGCATCCGCATCCATGATATGCTTAATATCAGAAGTAGCACCAAATCCTGCACCTACTCCCGTTGCTAACAAGGATGATATAACCTACATGCAAGTGCAACCATCCAACAATTAATATTAAGGGTTTTTCGCAACAATAGTCCTTCAACTATACCCGTATTTGTATTTGGGTCATTGAACTCAATTGTTAGTTGCATAGGTCACTCAACTGTGTGTTTCGTTGCACCAATAGTCATTCCGTCAAGTCCGTTAATTTTTTCCGTTTAAAATTATGACGTGGCAAGCATCTGTGAGAATCTCAGAGAATCATGAGGGGCAAATCTGACTTTTCAGTTAGCCTTCTTTAGCTCCTTGAAGATTTGATTATTGAGCTTAAAGATCTGATTTTGTTGTTGTTGTTGACTTAATTGTTGGGTGGTTGTTATAATTGGGAATGAAAAGCTGGTGATTGATTTCTTGGCTTCGTGGTGCGGACCTTGCAGGTTCATAGAGCCGGCCGTCAATGCCATGGCCACCCAATTCACTGACGTTAACTTCGCCAAGATCGACGTCGACGAGTTGTCTGTAAGTCATTCCCGCCCCCCCATTTCTTCCATTAATCTTCATTAATCTCAATCTCAAATTTGTTAAATTGGGTTTTCTTTTTCTTTATTAAAAAAAAAGGGAGGTTGTTCACCCGTTTTGTTTTTGCTCCTGTGATGGAAGGGTAAAATTCCCCACTGACTTGGAAACTATTGATTGGTCAACAAGTCAGCTTTCTTTGGTGTGCGAGCGTGCCACTGCTATCCTTGAAAATCCTAGCAGACTTCTTTAAAATGGATCATTTGCGCCCCAAGTTACTGATTTCTAAACAAGTGATTGTGAATTTATGTGAGTAATATCTCTCAAGTAAGTTCTTTTCTTGTCTCAGACTGGTGAGGACTTCACAATTTATCACAGTATAAGATTGGTAGTTCTGGCCAGAATAAATAATGATAAAGAGGACTGTTTTTAGGCAGAACTGCCATTTACAAGACTTGGAAGGAAAAAATCAACTCTAGAAAGATAAAAAGAAAGTTGGAATTCCATTTCTGCCTGGATAGAATCTTCAGATTCAGGCTAGATTGAATATATCTGTGCTAAACTGGACTATTAACAACTTCGACTGCTCAACTTCAGCTGAAAATCGATGTCAAAGTTCAATTTTGGCAGAGCTTTAATCTACTTCAAGCTTTGGAAGGCTTTTGAACTGGCAGAACTACTGCTTCTTCAGTCTGAAGGGGCAAAAGTGGCTGGTCTTGAGGACTCAATGAGCTGGAACTGCACTGTAAAATTTGTTGAGGTTTTCATATTTGTGAAAACTTAAGCTCTGTTTGTTCTTGGCTTTTGCTGAACCAAATTTGTAACGAGAGAAATCTCGTTTTGAATAACTTATTTTTCTAAGTCTGAACTTTGGGAATTCTGATCTAAAGCTAGTTTCTCTTGTGGTTCAAGTGAGCTTTTGGTTGATTTTTGTTTGTTTGTTTGATTGATGAATTGAGTGTCTTTTGCCCTGTTCACTCTCTCCTCTATTTATAGGAAATGTTTTC